AGGTACATAATTCAACAAAGGAACTGTAAGGCTCATCTATAGTATGTGTCAGTTAAAGCTACAAGAAGAATAATTTGGATAGGTGTCTTAAGAATGTTGTCACTTGGGGAAATGCTCCTGTATGAGGCACATGTATAATATCCTTAAGTAGCTGCCAGAGTCCACTACTAGGAGTTGCTGAGAAAGCAATCAAACTTCACAACCTCACACTTATTTCCCAGCACCCCAAATTTGTATTGTTTAAAGCAATCACACACCTCTTCAATGTGATAGAGACTGAGTCACATCTAATCCCTGTTTTATCCAGAGGTCAGCCAAAGACTGCAGGCGCCGCAAAACCAGTGATCAGCCTTCCAACCACAGCCAGAACACAGAGAGCAGCTGTTCAACGCCAGAGTCAGTGCAGGAGCTCTCAGATGATGATGGCAAGTATCTGGGTGTCACTGGGTTAGGCTTTAATGTTCTTGCCTTGGTACTTTAATTCTTGAGCCAGCCCTGGGACATTTCCCAGCCCAGTTAATACCATGGGCCACCAGCCCACGGGCAGCACAGGGAATGTTCTGCTTTTCTGTTCTCTGTATGTGCTGTTTCTGCCTTACAACAAGGATTTCCCAACTTCTGGAAAATTGGAAAAATACAGTGACATTCCAATCAACACACATGAAACAGGCTGTGTTTCTCTCTCTTTTCTCTGCCTTTGTTAGAGATGACCTTGAATGTTTGAGAGGGTGAGCAGTTGTGAGCACTCCTCTCTCCTCCCCTGAGCTGAGGAGCATTGTTTCCTTAGAGTTGACTGAGAAGCACCCTGACCCAGAGTCACAGGAGTGACCTGGATCTTCTGGCTGGAAGATTCTGTTCCCTGTCTCCTCCCCATGTTTCCTCCTGAAAGTGTCCCCCCTAGCAGTGACAATTAGTTCACAGCCACCCACTTGCTGTGTTGTGTTTCCCTACCACCAGAATGGTGATGCAAAACATAATTGTCCTTCAATACTTTGCCACAGGGTTTGAAAGCCTGTGCGCTCAGTGTGGGAAAGAAATGAACCACCTGAAGGAAATTCACTCAGCTGTCTTATCGCTACAGAAAGCCCAACAGGACATACACAGGTAACCATTTGCTGTCATCAAACAATGATTTTAATGGGCTAAAAATAACTGTGTGACATTTAACTCTTTACTGTGGTCTTTAGAGTGTGAGCTGCAGGAGTGCAGTTCAAGTTGTTGCAGATAAACTAACCACTTATCATACCACAAAGACAAACCCAGGCTCTGCTTGAAACAGTTAACTTCCTCTTAAGAGTCCCTTTCTGAGCAAAAAGTATCACCCTCAGGATGTTACTCAGCTCACGGTACTCCTGACTGGACCAGGCCCTGGCTAAAAATAAATCTCTGCCAGGCAGAATGTGTGGCCTTCTGATCCAGCATGTTAGGAACTTCCTCAGTTTGTACGGTATGTGTTCTGAAAAACTGGGCTCCATGGAGAAAAGCACTAATTTCCAGTTTTTTGTACAAATTGCTGGTTGCCATCTGAAGGAAAAAGAAAAAGTAAACACATCTGCTGCTGACAGTGGGCTTTGCCCTGCAGACTCCTGTGGGGAGGAATTAACTGCTACTTCAGCTGCAGGGAGCCCTGCTGGTTCCTCTCTGTGTGAGGAGTGAGTATTATCCAGCCCTGCCAAAGCTTCAGTGAGGTGGGATCACACATGAAGCCTACCATTTCTGGATGCCAGAGTCATTGGTGATATGCTGTTAGCTTCGCTGCAGTTCCTGGGGGTGTCCAGGGCAGGTTTGGGAAGGTTAGGGCACAGGTTAAACTCACAGGGCTATGAGTGAGTGCTGGATGAAGAGATTTCTTGGGGTTTGTGCCCTTCCCATGCCAACCAGCTGCAGCCAGAAACACTAATCTTCCTGTTAAAAAGGGAGGCAAAGTCGGGGGGAGCACACTGCTCTACCCCTGAGGGTGTCACCAAAGTGCAGGGTTCCCTCCTGGTGGGGAAGTTCGTGGTGTGCACACGTGTGTGAAGGCACACTTCTCTCCAACACACAAATAATCATGTTGCTTTCTTTTGCAGAAACCTCAGCGCTCTGAACAAAAAGTCCTTCCACAGGAAGGCCTCTTCGGAAAGCTTCCTCCTGGACTCTCGCTGTTGGTTTCTCCTCTGCATCTTTCTTACGTGTCAACTCTTCATTAATTATGTCTTCAAATAAAATCACTACATTTGGCAGCAATAATGATCACTGGCTGGAGGAGGGGGCCACTCGCGCAAGGAGCCCAGTGAGGCACCAAAGCACTTTAGAACCAACACGGCAGAGGTGGAAGGAAGTGGAAAAACGAGGTTAAAAAGGGATCTAGGAACCTGCAAAACTTTGTTCCTGCAGATTATGTCATTTTTTGCCTTTTACATGTACATCTTCAAGGACCTCTTAACCTGTATGGGCCTTAATGCTGAAGCCAAATGTAGCTTTAATTGTGCAATTTGTTTTCTATGTTTTGTCATTTTCTGATGCAATTAATAATTACCCAGCAGTATTGGTAACCCCAAAATGGTAATCACCTCAACATTTTGGAAAAGTCACGGTGGCCTGGGTCATAGCTCCAGGAGTGAGGAAGAGCAGTTGGGGAGCTGTATGGAACTGATGTCCACGGTGCCTGTCCGGCTGCCTTTAATTACAGGAGGGAGTTGATGTTTGTCCAAAAAATCCAGCCCTGGGATATTAAGTCATGATCTGTTTAGTCAGCCCATGCAGAATGGGACCTCAGGATGTGTTTTATTTTCCATTCCACAGAAACTGTAAATATACACAATTTCCTAGAGCCATTCTGCTTTGGGAAATGGGAAGTATCCAGTGAAAGCTCCTCGTCTGGTTACGGAGCTGACTGGTGTCCTGGGTCTGGCCCTTCGAGGGTGATGTCAGACACGCACGCCTGTTTGTAAAACCTGGTCACTTACTCTTCTTGTTATTATTTGCTATATGGCTGTTTTATAATATCACACACTAGCATTGTAGAGAGAAATCCACTGCCCCAGCATAGGTGAGGAGGATGGGAGCGATGTAGGTGTACGTGTGTTCGGTCTTAGGCACATTTATTGTCAAAGGTCAGGAAAGAGGGAGGGTTTTGCCACTGAATTGTTCAACCCTGTTAATAGTCTTCCTATTTTACACCATTTTTTAAAGATTTGCAATATTTTCTGTAGACTGCAGACAATACTAAGCCTTTCTTTTCTGGCCTGAAGTAGTTCCAAGTGGTAAGTACTGCTATATATACAGCCTTAAAATACTTAGTGGTGGTGCCAGTCTGGGCTATCTTTCAATGTAAATGTTTCCAAATTTTTAAGTACATTCCTTGTCATATTCCCCAGTTAGGGGAAACCTGTTTGTGCTTGATATGTTGAAATAAAACTACACACAACTTTCAGTGGCAGTCTATCTGACAAATTATTTTTGGGTTTGTGTTTGATAGTATTTTAAAAGTAAATTACTTTCTAGATGAAAATCTGCGGGAAATTGCCTCTAAGAATATCAGACCTGGGCCATAAGTTAGAATGGCAATAGCAGTTTGATACCACTCTGGCTGAAATTGTCTGAAATTGTCTTCTTATTGTAGCAACTTCCACAGAAAGAGAAGTGGTTCCCGTGATTTTCACTTTTGTACATGCAAATGTACAAACTTATCTTGGACTTAGGAAACCTTTATATCAAGGACTTGAGGATAGGGAATAGATTGTTCCACAGAGAGAACTGCAGCTCTCTGATATGAACAGGCAGGGTAAGAGCCAGCATATGTAAGCTGACATTCAGGAAACTGATCACAAATGTTAAGGGGTGAGAGTGCCTTTGTTATTAGCAAAAGTCTCCAGAAAACCAAAGCATCCTTCATCCTTGAGGAAACAACCTTGGAGAATATCAACATTATTGATGCAGATTGGGTGCCTTTTTGAAGGATGTCATCCTAGTCACTCTTTCTGAGGAAGTCAGACCCATGCCACATGTGGTGTAAAACTCAGTGAGAGGGCACTGCCTCTGCTTTCCAGGCTGTGCAAAGTTCCCTATGCAGCTTCAAAGTGTTTGCTCCTGTTTGGATGTATCCAAGTGTTTGGATGTAAAGCAGTGCAAACAAATGCCCTAATCTCCTTTGAATGCTTCAGCAAGTCAGCACATCTCTGGCCTGTCAGCACAGCCTTCCTCATCACTCTCATCCTGGTTTTGGAGCATGTGTTTTGAGTTAAGGATAGGAGCCTCTCCACGTCAGTAGGACTGTTTGCATCCCTTGGGTACAACTGTATCCCAGCTTTGGGGAATGGTTACCAAACAACAACAGAAAAAACCCAAACAGCCCAAGCCCAGAACCAAAGAGAAGCAGTGCTGAGCAGAAAGCCTTCAGTAGGTGTAAATATGAATGCAGGAAATTGTTTGAATAATTTCCGTTTTACCAAACTGAGCACCCACAGGGATTGCACTAGGACTTGTAACTGCAGTTGAGTAAAATAAACATTGTTACCACAAGAGCAGCAGTTCAGTGAAAGAAACTATCAACAAGTTAATTCAGCATCAGCAGAGGAAGAGTTTCCAACATTTAAGGGCTGCTGTCACAGAGGATTAAAAATTAATCCAAAAAGGAACAGCCTATGAATCCTTGTGCCATTAATTTTAATCCAGTTTGAACAGTCTGGAGGTGAATGTTCCTACATGCATATGGGAAAAGAAAAGTATTCTTGAGGAAAATCATGGCCAGAAACGTTATTTTTCTGGGGAAGAACAACTACTGAGGAGAAACGTGAGAAAAGCCCAGTTATGCACTTCGTTTGCGCCATATTGGGAAATTTCTCCTCGCAGCCTTTCCCGCTGCTTTTGTGATCAGGGTGGACAGCCCTTCAGCACCTGCGGCAATTAACTGCACCTTCTGCCGGAGTGAGCAGGACGGCCCGAGAGCCGCTGCCCCGCCTGCTCCGCCCCCGCACCGGGTATAAGAGGCGGCGGCGGCGCGGGACGAGCCCAGAGCGATGGGCACCATCATGGGAGCCGGGCGAGCGGCGGGGCTGCTGCTGCTGGTAAGTGCCGTGGGAGCTGGGGCTCTATGTCCCACTGCTGCTAAGTGCCCGCTGGGGCTCTCTGCCCCGCACCTGCCTGCCGCGAGTGGCGGCTCGCAGCCGTCCGCAGCCAGAACTTAAATCCTGGCTTTTGAGGCGGAAAAAGTCTTCCTCCTGCTCTAGCGTGAAGGAGCCTTTGGGTTTTTCTGTACTTTTCTTCTTTAAGAGACTTTGGTAACTTTTTTGAGCTTTTTGTTCGTGTTTGATGTCTAGGGAAAGTTATGGCAGCGCCGCTGGCATGAAGCCAGCGCCCTCAAGGAAGGTACCGCATCTCCCTGTCTGTTCGTATCGCACTCGCTGCTGCCCTTCCCTCTCTCCTCAGAGAAAAAATAAAAGTTACAAGTCAGGAGTGAGTTCTTTAATACTCCTCGGGTTGTTTAAGTGTGAAACTGGGAGTTTTCTCACCCCCCACAGTTAGGGGGAAGATTTTCAGTCTACCGAGGAGAGAGTTTAAAGAGCGGGACCCTCTTGGTTTTAGCTGAGACGATGCCCGCTGATGACAGTGCCGGGGAGCTCGGCATGCTGGCTCGGAGTGCTGGCCTGCTCTTCCCCCCCTCCCGCTGTTGCTCTAGAGGATTTCTCTCCGTGTGCGAGGCTGCTCAGGAGGTGACTCAGCGGGGCCGGGCGTGCGCTCACCTCTCTGGAAGCGCTTGGATATACCGGCACTGAGAGGTTACAGGGGAGCCCTGCCCAGTAGTGCGCGGTCTGCACCTTTCTTCCTCTTAAAAAAAAATCATTCCCGATGCTCCTGTAGTATTGCTAATGACTCGACTTCTGCCTAAGATTCGAGCCAGTGAGACGTGTCCGAGGAGTCCGTGGGGCGTTTCCTCAATTTTGCGGGAGCGAGACTAGCACTGATTCTGACGAATTAAAAGGATGGGGGAAGGAAGAAACTAATCCCTTGCACGCCGTAAAAACTTTGGCGTCTGCAGTTCAACTGTAGTGAGATAGTGGAAAGAAAACAAAAGTTTATGTGGAGGCAGGAACGTGTGGCAACTGTTGCCTAAAGCCCATCAGCTGCAGCACGGTGCTGCCTTAACCCCAGCTTTGTGATGGCAATTACTGCTGTGAGCAGCACTTAGCAGAAATTAGTTTGGGTTTTCTCTGTGGCTTCCCATAAATTTCTGAACGTGTTTCCACGTCTTTACAAGTTAATCTCCCCAAGATAGTTATCATGTCCATGCAAGATGACTCACTCAAAAGGCCTGTTTGCCTCCGCTGTAGGTTGTGCTACTGACGATGCCTAGAGCCCGAGCGAACTGTGGGGAGAGAGAGTACTCCCATCAAGATCACTGCTGTGTGTTTTGTGAAGCAGGTAAGACTGAGCAGTTACAGCTGATAGCAATTGCTTCCTACATTGCGTGCTGGGAAAGTGTGAGCCTGGCTGGAGCCGTGAGGACTTCTTGGTGCTGTAAAGGCTGGGCTCCATTTTGAAGTGGAGCCCCTTATTGCAACAGGCGGTGACTAGGAGAGGATGCTTTTGCTTGTGGTTGAGGATAAAGTTTTTGAAGTTAATTGATTTAGTTAATACAAAGAACAGGCCTAGGAGAATTCTGATATTTCTGTGTCTGTAGGCAAAGCTTCAGTATGGTTTTGCTCTCCTCTCCTTGCTCAATGTGTGCAGAGCTAACAAGTTTTGCACTGAGAAGAAACCTCTCATTATTATCAGAAGCTTACTGGTAGGATTCACACAAAGGAGAAAAAAAATGTTTATTGAAAGCAACTCTCCCTGGGCTTGCCCCTTTCCTTCAGCAATGGCACCATCCACAGGCTCCCTGCCTGCTGCAGTGACTCATCCTTCCTGCCTTGCTGGACGCCTCGTTTTGCCCCTCTCCCTGTCTGAGTGGCAAATTGTAAATGTGCCTCCTGACTCTTCTGTACCTATTGGTTTGTGGGGCATGTGATTGATTTGCAAGGAAGAGTTGAACCTTTCTCAGAAATTTGTGTTGTAATATCTAGGTTTAGCCCTTTGTCTGTCAAAAGATCCCAAGATTGCTGCTGCTGCCAGTTCTCTTCTTCCACAGGTAGCTTTGTTGCTGATCACTGCAATACTTCACATTTGCAAGGAAAATGTGACCCTTGCAAGGAAGGAAAAAGCTTTACTGCCCATGCCAACGGCTTGGAGCACTGCTTGGCTTGCAGACAGTGCAAAGAAGGTAGCAAACCTTAACAATTTCCCCCTTTTTAATGTGAAAAACCTGATCTTCACTGGGCATATTGAACGTAAAAGTAAATCACCTTTATGGCCTGAGTATAATCTTTGCACTTGCTAACTTATTTTTAGATCAGATAACTCTGAGACCCTGTACCCTGACACAGAATGCTGAATGCCAGTGCAAACCAGGGTATTTCTGTGAAGATGAGGGCTGTGAAATATGTCGGAGAATCAGTCAAGAGTAAGTTTGAGAATAAGTTGCTATTTTCCTTCTGGGGAATGTTAGAGCTGTGGCCCAATCTGTACCAATAGTTAACACATGTCATCAGGCTGTAAATAACTGCCCTGAAGCCAAATGGCATTATTCATGCATTTAAATTTTAGGTGTCAAAACCTGTGATGTTGAGACCTAGAAAGACGTGGACTTGGGTATGATTGTGCTTGTTGCTTATGGCTGTAAATTGGCATTTTTCATGTGTTCATGTTGGTATTTCCACAGAAACATATATTTGAATGAATTTTCTAGCACCCAGCTTAAAATTTTAGTATGTAGAACTACATGTTGAAGGCAACTAACCATGCATGAATAATGCCTATACTCTGTGGCTTGGTTCCCCCCCCCCCCCACTTAGACGCTAACATAAGTGAATTTTATCTGCTTTGCTTTTATTTTATGTTGCAGTTTTGTTGGATTGTTTAAAGGTACACCTCTATCAGAGTTTATGCATGTTCCATTCATAGTTCTGAGCTCTGTCTGAAAAAGAATCATGCCCGGACAGAGCTATGTACTGATCTGGAAATGTTGATACAATGTTCTGTTACCCTCCACTTCAGGCATCTGGATGGGAAAGAAATCATGAATTCCACCGATACCATGGAACTAGGCTTAACTAATCAAGGTCTGTTACACAAATCCCACTCACCTTGGTTTGTTGGGTCCGTGGCTTCAGGCTAATAACACCAGAGTAGTCTGTAAAGCAGTGGTTTCAACTGCTGTAATGTACTTAAGAGCAGCTGCCTTTTAGTCTGGGAGTTATTTGCTAAAGACAAGTTCTCAAAGGGGTTGTTGGGATAAGCCACCTTGAGTTTCACTTGGTGAAAAGCTACATGTGTTGCCAGGGTTCTTCAAGTTGCAAGGGTGACCCAGTTGAAAGTTCTGGGTAGTGTGAAGATGTTTACTGTGCCTGGAGTGGGTTCCTCTTCTGCTAGGAATGCTCACTGTCCATGCTACAGCACCCAAAGCTAGCTATCCTCTTTTGCATACTTGTTTCCCCTTAAGTGTCTCTCCATAAAACCTTGTGGAAGTTGCGTTGCAGCTCTCTGCAGAGTTCTCTGATGCCTTTGGGAGCACGACGTGCAGTGCAAACAAGTGCTCACATGTTCAGGGCAATGAGTCCATAAGACTCCCAGGAAAAACTGTCTGGGTTGTTGTATTAGTTCTGGGCTTAGGTTTTTCTCTAGGACAGCAAGGAACATCTTTTGGGGGGACAGTTTCAGTACTAATTTTTTTTCCCTTACTTTGCAGTGAAGGAAGAACGTGTTTGGTTTATTCCGGTGCTTGTGTCAGCTACTTTGATTTTCCTCGTCGTCATTGTTGTTGTTCTTGTTAAAAAGCTGAAGTGTGATAAAGGTAACTGCTTGATTATTATCCATGAAATTTGCTTTCCACAGCTGGGCAAAGCATGCACTAGGGCTGTCCCTGGTTCTTGTATTGCCTCACAAGGGACCTGTTTAAGCTCTAGTTTATTTTGTGTGTGATTGAAATTAGCAAATGAGTAAAGTGGAAGAGTAGTTTTGCTTGGTAAATAAAATGCATAATCCTTAACTATGAGTTTTCTTATCTTGCTGACAGATGCCTCTGCTTCAAAGCAAGATTATCATAAGGTCCTTAAAAAGGACTTCTCCAATCAACTTGCCTTGCATTGGCAAAGAGGAAAAACCTGTGTGGGGGTTCAGGTGCATGGGGCAAAAAGTAGCAGCTAATTAGATCACTAATTCCTTTAATTGTGTTTGGTTGTGGAGATTTTTTTGGTACAAATTGGTTCCCTTTAGTAATTTGAACCTCTTAATGTGAATATTCAAGTTGGTAAGTACTGTGTGAATTTATTTTGTAGTGGAAACTGAGCTGTTTTCCTTGGAAACTTCTATTTCTACTATTGTGTTTCAAAGTATTTTTGCTACTAGCATGGTTGAAATAATACTGAAAGCTATTATGAATCTTAAGTGCTGGGTTTGTTGAAATCATGTCTTACTGATTGTATTGCAGTAAAGACAATTTCTGCCTTCTGTATTGCAATAGCCTACGAAAATTCTGAGAAACAAAAGCTGGAGTAGAGGATGAAGTGGCTTAAAAGTCAAACAGCATCTTGTAGTCTTCATTTTGCTAAGCAGTATTAAGGCACAGTATTTGTGTTGTTGCTAAGGGTTGTACTGGGATGAAATATATGACCGGTCAAAGAAACTAAATGGCTTTTAAAAGCTTTGTCTGTGTTACAAAAGTTTCTATTGTGTATAAGTCTTGTGTGATTTCAGCCATGTTTAAGTTGCTGCAATTCTTATAAATTGCTCAGACACTTTTTTTTTTTCCAGCTGCTGCAACTGTTAAAGATATAGAGGGGCGTCTGGTAAGTATGTGATGGACCCAGTGTTTAATCTCTAATTGCTCACAGCCTAATTGTACCTGACACACAGCTCTCAATGTTTGTCTCACTGTAGATCTCTGCTAGGATGTGTTCCTGTGATGCAACAAGTTGTGATTCATGCAAGGTCAGAAATCAATTAGCAAGTGTCTGATGCATTCAATAGCTGCTGGTGTCTCCTTGTCAATACTGGAAAACACTTCAGAGCCTGTGACCAGGATGCTTTGGAAGTGGGGAAAAAACTTGGACTAGCTGCAAGTTTTCACTTCAGACTGTCTCCAAGTGATACCTTGATCCAATTAATTTATTTTTTGCTGCTTCCCATGTGATGGCAGCTATTGTTTGGTGTTGCAGCATGGTGGGGTTCCAGCTCTCACTGCACTGTGACTACAAATTATTAGTTCATAAGACTTAACCACTCCTGATCCACTAAGTGATTGAGTCTTCCTGCCTCTGGGCTCATGTCACAAGCTACAGACCAGGACCTGACAGTCTGAATTCTTGGTCCTAAGCAGTCCCAAAGGAGGAGGAGTTCATGGCTCAGAGCATGCCAGTCTCAAAGTACATCCCTGAAAAGGGTTTATCCAGCTGAGACTGGCTGCTGGCATTTGTTCCAGCTTGAAGCTGGGTATATATACCCTGGCATCCAAATGCCATTTCAGAACTTTACTGTTTGAGTCTAAAAAACCTATAGCTAGTCCAGCATTCTGCAAGACAAACACAAGGCTGGATGAAGTAAATACAAGGTGGCTTTAACTTCTCTAGTTAGAAACTACATCACTACCAGCACCACAAGGCAAAAATGAGCCCAGTCTTAGTTTTACAAAACAAGTGTTAGTCTTGATGAGCAACTAGGAAGAATATCCATACTGTTCTCAGTGTGTGTACAGCACTTTTTTTTTTCTCCCTGGAGCTTCTCTTGTCCTTCACCAATGCATTACCCACCCAGTGTATGCACTCTTGTCTAATGTTACTAAGTAGACATTTTGAGTAATTAAATGCATTTTAATTATGTTAAAAATACTTGAAGACTGAAGAAACAGAATTGAAAGAGATGTTCAAAGGCTCACCCTAAACTCTGCTCTTTTTCTTTTTTAAGGTCCATAAGTGGCTCAAATATGTGAAACACCCCAGGTTTTTTGTTGGGTTGTATCTCCCCTCATGCCCTGGCCAGATTTGCAGCACTTCACCTATTTATAGAAGCTGATGAAGAAACGTGACAAAAAACCTGGTCAAAAAATGCTGTAGCATAGGAATAGCAAATATAACATGTCTTTAATTTCAATAAAATAGTTGCAGAATGATGCAGTTACAAATTGGTGCACAATGCCACTTGTTTCTCATGTAAGAGCTGTCACAGGCAGATGCAAAGTCTTGCACTTGGAGTGCCCGTGCTGCTGTAAGAGCTTCTTTGCTAAGGAGAGTTCCACTGATGCAGGCCTGAGACTGAGTATTTTGGCACCCACACACCCTCCCTCCCAAAGAACCAGTGAATTCATACAGCACTAATGCCCCCAACAGCTGCTGATACTTGAATAGCTGATGCTGGGTTTTGGAACAAAAGACAGTGCTCTTTCAGTCATTTGTTTTCCTGTTTAAGCGTTATCCTGTATAAATAAGATCAACTTCTATAGTGTGCTTATACCCATAAACAGAAAGTGTTTCAGTGAAAATGATGTGCAACTATCTGTGTCATATGTAGGGGGGTTCCCCCTCACATCCCCACTTATGCATGTTGGTCATGGGGTGGTGTCACCTGTGGGTCACTGTCACTGAGCAAACAGAAAGCATGCTGGCTTATGCTTACAAAGGGCTTGTACCTTAATAAACACAAGTCTTAGGGGCCGAACAGTAACTCCTCATCCTCATTTTCCACATATAAACAAATACTCCTAACTCTTGCCAGCTTTAGCACTACCTGTCACGTGAGACCTGCTCCTCTGCTTTGTGCTTGTACTGGTCATGCTGACCTGGTGCTGTACTCCCTGGCTATGCTTGTTTAATGAGTTGGCAATGCCAGAAATGAAGAGAGCCTTTCTTGCTGGCTTCCCTCCTTCTCCCCTCACAAAAACTATGCCATGTACATGGGTGTTCACCTGCTTCTTTCAACTGATTATAGTTTGTGAACCCCCCAGGAAACCTAATCCAGCCACAGACAACCCAAGGTAGTGCACTGCCATGGAGCTGACAGGCTACTTGGCAACAATTCTGAGCATCAGCCTTGACACAGCAATAGCCTTGGGCCCCTGGTGCTGTTAAGTCATCTCAGGTGCAGCAAGGCAGTTTAATTCCCTCCTGTCTTAGGAGCAGTACCTGTCTTCTGTACCTAGAGAGGAGCAAGCAGCAATCCTCATCAGTAAGAACATGAGGAGAAGTTTCCTGTGGTTGTTGTGGAGGCAGCTTGTGTGCCTTACCCTGCAGTCTGGTGGGTGCAGAAGAGCCAGGGAGGTGGAGAGTCAGGCTCTGAAAACATTTTGTCACGATCTGCTAGTACAAGTGGGGGTTGTGATGGTTTGTTTTACTAATCTCAGAGTGCAAAAGACACACAGCAGGGGACTCTCAGTATTAATCAAAACAAGTGCACCTTTTATTGAATGCCCTTAGCAAATGTGAGAGAAGGATTAGAAAGGTTAGATAAAGGATAGAGAGAGAAAAAGAAGGGGGGGACTAGCTGCCAACAGAGAGACAAAATCCTCATGGTCCAGCCAATAGATCCATCTTGTCACGTTGGGGAGAATTTTAAAGTCTTTGGGTCTTTTATAGTCTTATGTCGAGGGAACAGGTACAGGACAGTGGAGAATAAGTCGTTGAGAACAAGTACAGACAGTCCAGTTCTGAACAGGACAATTCAGTCCCAGCAGTGAGCAGGACCCATTGTTTCAGGACTGGGTCCTATGGGAAACCAGTCTTGGTCCAGCAAACACGCCTGTAGGCAACACCTGGCAGACATCCTGCTTCAGACAGGCCAGCACCCCTGTGTTAAAACTTTAAGGGTCTCAGTCCTTGGGGGGGGCTTCAATCTCCATCCTTGATGGTGATCGTGTGGCATATGAGGGATCTTCCATGCGGGATCACCAAAGTTACCTCAGAAAGTCAGTCCTCCTCTAAAGCGGGTGGCATCTGGCCAAGAGGTGGGGAAATCCAGGGGCTATTGTGGTGAGTGGGTATTGTGCAGCAGGTGTAAGTGCACAGAGTGAGCTGCTCCTTGTCAGGCCCTGCCCAAAGCAGGGTACCGTGGTGACACAGCAAGCACACCTGTGGACAATCCCTTGGCAAGCACCCACCTCAGCCAGACCAGAACTCCAGTCAGGGTCTTCAGCGTCTTGGTGTGTGTCCTTGTGACGGTTGTGAGGCAAAAGAGGGAAACTTCGGATCATCTCTTGCACATTTGAAGTCTAATTCTGTAAAGGCTGTTACTTTGCCAAATTATCAGCTCTTCTTTTATGTCTCTGACATCTGGTAGCTTCAAGTATTTCCTTTTCTTCCCCCAGAAGAAAATAGTGGAAAATAGTGTGGTTTCTGAGCAGGGCACTGTCCCATGCAGGAGCTGGAAGTGCTGTATGACAGTGTGGTTGAGGAGGATTGCTAAGTCCTCATTGGCAGCAAAACCTGTGCAGAATTCTGCTTTTCAGAAGACTGCCCTATCTAAGGTTCCAAGTGGAACTCCAGCAAATTGTAAGATAAGTGTACGTGTGTGAAATGATCATTGCATTTTCTCTAATATAGGTATCCCTTTACTTGAGCTCGTAACTATTCCCAGAGCTTTCAGCAAAACAACAGAGGAAACTTTCCCTTAAAGATGTAATAGGAAGTATGGGAAGTGGTAGCCTGGGGGAAAAAACCTTCAATCCCTCATTTAATTTACTCTGCCTCTTTGACCTCCCTGACAGAAGGTACTGTTTTGTGATAGCAGCAAATGTTGCCTTGGAGCCAGTAACGTGTTTGTTTCACAATGCAATTTTCTTTACTCCAGTACTTTCAGGTCTGCTCTGAAATCTGCTTTCCTTCCCCTCTTTGCTGTGTGTGATGTAAAAGCAAGTTGTCAAATAGGTAAAAAACAATAGTGAGTGAAACACCCTGATTTGTTGGAGTAATGGTCCAACTTTGTATTACAGATATGACATTCAAATCAGATAATTGTTAAAGATCTCTCTCAATGTGGTAAGTATCCCATAAATTGGCTGTACTTGGAATTTGGTTTTATTTCCTGTTGACTTCAGTCTACTTACGGAATAGTATAACGAGGCTAATGAATATTGCTTAGAGCTATAAGGCTTCCAGTTTATTGTAAAATGTGCTGAAACAGGATTATTGCTGCATTTGTAATCCCTGTGGTGAACTGTTCTACTTTGGAGCATGACTTTTCTGCATGGGAGTATAGCACAGTCATGATTTTAAGAATGGTACCAATTTTTGAAAAAAGTTTTAAAACGAGTCTGCATTGCAGCAGTGCACTCTGCTTTACTGAGTGAGGTGTAGGTCAGAGTGAGAGATCTCTCTGTCAAATGTCTTCTCACGTGGAAGAGCACATCAAACCTCCATACACCCTCCTGTAGGCAGAAAATTGTTGTGCTGGATGTCCAAGTGATGGGTTTTGCTTGTGGTGGTCTTGGTGTGGCCAACCTGTGCCAGCAGCATGATGAAGTAGTTAAAACTTCCTCTTCAATAGCCCTGCCAAGGGAACATGCCAGCCAATGAAGCCTTCCTCAAAACCAGACAGTGGATGGTGTCCTGCCTTAGGAGACCACTACTGAGAATGCACCAATACCTTTAGCTACTTTCAAGACCACTTAATAGAAAACTTATTTGTCCTGCTGCTTCTTAGGTGCCAAACCCAGCTGCCTTGCTGCTGCTGCTGTTTGGTCTGTGCAGGTATTGGCTGAAAATTAAGGGGAAAGTATGTGTGTGAGCTATGGAAAAAAAAAACCCTGTGTTTTAAAGTCCAAGCTGATGTGTGTTGTGTGTTTCTTCTTGCAGAACTGAGAAAGACCTTTGGTGTCTTTACAAAGGAAGTACCACCACAACAGTGGAAGCAGCTTATGAGAACTCTTCTACAGGAAAATTATATTGATAAAGTTATATCTAAATTTCCTAATAATAGAGAAGAACAATCATATCAGATGCTTCTCATCTGGAAAAAGAGACTGGGAAAGAAGCAATGTATTATTTATCTACTGGATGCATTGAGGCACATAGATACCAAGGTTTATTACAGTGTATTAAACACTTTAAAAAGTCGTAACACTGTAAGTAGGAGCTGAAGATTAATGTTTATGAGGAACTGCAAAAATGTTCCTGTGTACATATGTGTGTCTTCAGACTTCCTTAAATGAGGATGTCAGGAACTGTTGGTAGAAATGGAGTTAGCCTCCTCAGCTCATGGAGACAGCCGGAAGGGATGTAATACCTCTGGTTTTTTTCATGTTTACATGACCTTCCTACCTCTGAGTCATAAAATATTAAACACAAGTGCTGGATGCCCACTTCGGAGCCAGGAGCTGGGGCATCCCTTAGTTTGTGACAGTGCTGTCCCAACCTGCGGGCGGGTACCAGGAGTCCGCTGCTGTTTTTGCGTACTGCGATGCTTTAGTTTCCGAAACCATTTTGTGTTGTATCGGAGTGCTCGGCACCGCTGTGTTTGAAGCACAGCAATAAAACAGTGGCTCAGACAGAAGCTGGCTCTGGGACTTTGTTCTGCGGCGGCGCCTCCATCCTTGGGGCTATTTAAGGAAAGGCGGGCGGCGCTGCTCGGAGCGGGGACTCCTCCGTTGGCACGATGCCCTGGGCGGTCATTTCCCGGCCGGGCCGTGTGGGGCATGGCAGTGCCGTGTGGGGCCGGGCAGTGTGGGTCCGAGCAGTGCTGTGTGGGGCCGGGCAGTGCCGTGTGGGGCCGGGCAGTGTGGGTCCGAGCAGTGCTGTGCGGGGCCGTGTGGGGCCGGGCAGTGCCGTGTGGGGCCGGGCAGTGTGGGTCCGAGCAGTGCTGTGCGGGGCCGTGCGGAGCCGGGCAGTGCCTGTGGGGCCGGGCAGTGTGGGTCCGAGCAGTGCTGTGCGGGGCCGTGTGGGGCCGGGCAGTGCCGTGTGGGGCCGGGCAGTGTGGGTCCGAGCAGTGCTGTGCGGGGCCGTGTGGGTCCGGGCGGTGCCGTGAGGGGCCGGGCCGTTCCGTGCCGTGCGGGGCCGCGCGGCGCTGCCCGTTGCCCGGGTGACGCAGGGCTGCCCGTCGGAAGTAGCGTAGTGCGGGCGGGGCGAGGCTTCCGGACGCGCTGTTGCATCAGCTCGGGAGCGAGGGCAGGCGGAGGCAGCAGCAGCAGCAGCAGCTCCGGGATGGCAGCAGCCGCCAGCGCTGAGCACGGTAGGTGGGTGGGCGAGCGGCGCCGCGGGCCCCCGGCGGGGCCGGGCCGAGGGGCGGCCGGCGTTGTCACGGCTCGGCGGGGCCCGGGGTCGCGGCGCCGCTGCTGTCACGGCGGGGTCGCGTCCCTCGGAGGGGCCGCGCTGCCCCGAGCCCCGCGCTGGGGGCGCGTCCCGCGGGCTGCGGCTGCCCTGTGCCCGCCGCGGGTGTGAGGTTGGTGCTGGTGAGGTTCGTGCCGCCGTTCGCGATTTGTGGGGACAATCGGAGCTCCTCGTCATCGCCGTCCGGGAGCGGCTGTGCCCGGCTCGGTGCGCTCGGTCCGTGGCCGCTCAGAGCTCCCACCTGTCTCCGTGCCTCCCGCAATGCCTTCCCCAGCCATCGGTGCTCTCCCCTAACTCACACCTGAACTTTTGGACTTTTACGGACATTTTCTGTGGTTCGTGTTGTAATGATGGGTTGTACTCTTCGCTTCCATATG